TTGTCAAGAGCCGTGATGACGGAAGTCCAGGATGAGAAGTGGGTGTCGACAGAAATCGCTGACAAAAAGGATGCTAAATTAGACAGAACCACGTCGAAATTTTCGCACGGTCGGTCGGTGATGTCCTGAAGAGTAAACAAGCAAATAATACGACAGAGCGACGAGTCACGATGTCACAACGAATCGAATACCTGCAGTAAGTACTGGGCGGCTATTAGCGGGTTCAATTCCTGGAAGTCGACCAGACTTTTGGCGATGGTTTTGAAGAACGACGGATCTAAACGAAAAGAAGATGAATTGGCAAATGAAATGAGCTAATCAAGTAAAGAAACATGACTCACCATTAACCTCGCTTTGAAACAGTGGCAGAAACAGGTGGTTCGGTGTAAGCTGATGCAAGATGACTCGCAGGAACTGTCTGGCGACGCTTCGACAATTGCCGGGAACAAAAATAGAACTGAAATCAATAAGCAAGGCTAAAATGGCGTGAAACATAGGCAGGCAACAAATACCTGTCCGCCTGCCAAGGGTGGTAAAAGTGATGCGCAATTTTCGCAACGGCGGTCAGGATCCTTAAAAGACACGGTGCCGCCATTACCGGGTCTCTGTTGACAAACGTAGACAAGCAAATGACCGACAACGAGATTGTATCTTCATCGAACAACTCCAAAGTGGCGTTGCACTGCGGGCAGCGTTGGTAGATCGTTGTTTCGCTGAAATGCACTTGAGCTGGTGGCGTGGATGTTTCATCCCTAGTAATATACCACCAACAAATACTCAACGTTTCGATACTCTCTGCTATTTATCACAAAGAAAAATTTATTGTAAACGTTTACGCATAACAACGCTGAGATAATTTGGACATCACTGCGCTATCCCTATGGACAAAGATCTGCACACAAGAAATAACGAAAAAAGCGGGACAGCCAACAATATTAACCTCAAAATAAAGAGCTGCAATAACTTTTGTCCATCTGCCAGCTAAGTTCTGAACAGGAGAGTAATACTCTAAAGATAAACGGAAATTCATTCGGTGTTAGATGGATGACATCAACGAAACAACAGCATAAAATACGACATAATATGCTTAATATGATTATTAATCTAAGATTGAAAGAACTATGCACTGCGAGGTCGAATTAATTTGATTAATTAATTAATTAATTATTCTTCGGCAGAAGAGTATTACTGACAATCAGCTAGGATTGTATCTCCGTAGGCAAGTAGGAAGATCATTTAGTCACAGTGACGTATGGCAGAATTGGACAAAGAAGGAAACTATTTTATTATTTTGCTCGTTACAATTATAATTATAAATTCCTAAAGTAAAAATGACCCTTTAATAAGGTCAAATGGTTTGAACAAGATGTTACTTTCTATCCATCTGAAATCTGTTCTCCTTGCGAATCAATGGCGTTGGTTTAACGAAACTTTCAGGACTGGGTGCCGGCATGCCTCTTTTGATAGCATCCGTGCTCTGGGTTGAAGTCTTCCAATCAGCAACTACAGTCGCCGAGCGGCCCTAAAATTTTGTATGAATGTATGAAAAATACTCGTCTAAGAAGCTGTTTAGAGTGCGGGCAAAATTACCACCAGTTGATGGCATAGATGGAAATGCGCTAAAAAACTAGTACAGAGATGCTCGTGTCGAGGACTCCTGAGTCGGTAGAGCGCAAGACTCAGAAATGAGCACAATCCCGGTCAGATCACTAAGTGAGTACCACTTTGTGAAAAGAAAACAGGAGAGTACTTGCTAGGCTTGTCACATAACCGCTGTCGACTGCTTTCGAAAAACAAATCGCTCTTCCTCATTAAGCAGGAAATTGAAAATCACTCTCCAGTCATTAGCTTTGTGAAAAGAAGAGTGCCATCATACAAGCGTAATTCCAACAGGTACAAACTTACTTCTTTTTCAGGAGTTAAAGATACACGCACATGACTGCCATGCAATTTGTAACACACGTAAATCAACCAGTCAACCAACAAGTTGCTCATTCGCCGGGTCTCACTTTGCACAGAAAGTCAAAACGGCCGGATCATAGAGAGATTTAAATACGCCACAAACAGAAATGAACAGCAGCAAATTAAAAGTTAAAATTAAAACACTCGCCTTGAGATCGTGAAACTCGTCGATAATAATCTGAGGTTGGACGCAGGGCGGCGGTAAAACCTCAATGGCAGATGAAGCAACTTCCGAAATTACGCGTTCTTCTAGTATAAAAGATATGAACAAATCGGTTTATGAAAATAAACCTGAGTACGTGAGTGAAGCATGACTTTGACAACCGCTGATTTTACGCTGGAAAACTCTTTTAGAGGACTTGACTCGCGAGTTTCAGCGGCAAAAGACGACTCCTCAGATTTTGCCGTTTGGGAAGAAATTTCGCCTGCTTCAAGTTCTAAAGCATGAATATTCCCACTTACAACAAACAGATAAGAAACAACACTTCCCTGAAAATGGAAAAGAGAAAGACACCACTCGACACAATAAGGTCTTCTATCGGAATACTGTTGTCAACCATTAATATTATCTTCGTGTTAAACTAAGTTCATGATACACAGCAACATAACCTGGACTATACCAAGGTATATGTTGCTACATATATAACTAAACATATAGGTGCCAAACATAAGCAAAAGATATAATCCGTAAAAAATAACTGTATTTACGGTTCACCTATGTCGAATGGTCATCAATATGAACGTGACCTGAATGATATATCATAATTTATTGCATTGATCTGTCACATACTAGTACCAAAATCACCAATAGGCACTGGGCTGAACGATAATAATAACACCATACAGATTGCAATATCAACAGTGTTTAACTACAAGTATATATAATAAATTTTGTTATATACAGCTTACAACGCCATATACCCTTATCGTAATAAACACTGCCGTTTGAGATAGATAAATGTTGTAGAATATTCCATCCATTATTTTGTGCAAAGTTCTTTCATTCCTCCATCACATGTTGCGTTTAGTGTTCTATTCTACAGAGCATTACATATCGAGACCTTAGAAAATATCATAATACAACATCACGATGAGTGTGAAACAATCGAATCAAAATAAGAACTGTGTCATAAATACAACGGGGAGTGAAAGAAAATTTTTAAATTCATTAGCGATTTACGCATCTGCGGCAAAAGACCAATTATTATCAAGTTATCATACAAAACTCATGCTGATTAGTGGCCAAAATATGAAATAGTCTGACTGATAGTAAACAATGTAGCTGCTGTCGGAAACGTTGACTCCAAATGATGCCTGCTGATGAAGAATCTTCTTAGTGACTACAACTATTTCATCGAATGAACATTCTAGAATTTCCATACTATTGTTGCTATGCATTGCAATGTGTTTGTTACAATATTATATTTAATATTTTTTCTGTAATTTCATCACTTGCATCGAGAAAATGAGAAAGCAAACATTTAGTGGAATAAGTGGCAAGATGCTCACCATCATTCGATATGAAGGACTTGTCGAACTCCTCGATCTGTTCTCGGATACGTGAGTCGACCTTCGGTACCTGCTCTTCAGACGTACCGTCACAGAGTCGATCAGACCTCGCTGACTGATCTTGAGAATTCAGTAAATCAGCCATTTCCAACATATGCTCCTCACGTTCATCGAACGTTGGTCTGCGTTGCGGTAGCCTTCGCTTATGCCTGAACATCGTCGCGGAGGAGTAGCCGTACCGAGCGCCACTGCCTATCGAAGTCCCGGTCGTGGCAGTCGCCGAAGAAGACGGCAATTCGCCAAGCTCTTCGACCTCTGTCGACAGGCTGTCGCCGCTGAGATCACTGGAACCTACAACAGCAAATCGAACCTGATAATCGTTTCGTTCTTACCGTAAACAAAAAGCGTTAGGTGTGCAGAGCTGAGCGTGATGCTCCAGCGAGCGCATAAAAACGGTATAAGGTGCTGTTAGTGTTG